TGTCTGATGTGGAGGACAACATGCTAAGCAGAAATGAGACCTTGGGAGAGTTTCTCCATTGTTCGAATATAATTGAATGGAGTTATTTACTTCAGTCTTGGACGAAGAGATAGTAGAGCTATATGTAGAAGTAACTTTTAAAGTATTTTTAAAGTACAAATTGCTAAGAATGACTTACGAAGACACAGTCTACAACTCTTAGGAACTTTGAGGTGAACAGAAAGTTTTAACAGTTCTTTTTTCCATTACAAATAATGGAAAATAACTTTGTATTTATTCCATTGTCATCAGAGTGTGAAGAATTCAGTATCAGTGAACAATTATGACAGGATCCGTTTCCTAAATGTTTATTATATTCCACATTGTACTTTTTGTACAACAGCTATATTTCTCAATATACTGATTCTAATTTTGAAAAGATTGAAATTTAAGGATATTCATTTATGTGCACAATGTTGACAGCAGATCTTTGATTCAGATCCAGACCTGGCTTGTTCAAAGTCTGGTTTTTTCTGTCTTATACTGTAAAGGAAATAACATGCTCTTCCTCTACTAGTCACACAGAATACCTCTAGAACCAGATGTGTGGGAGATTTTCCCACAGCAATCAATTCTCGGACATCAGCTAGGTGTCCCACAATTCAATTCTGACATTAACCAAAGGTAGCATAAAACCGGCAGGTTAATGTCATCCCACAAGATTGGTCTCTCCTTCAGATGCCAATGGCAAGTAGGGTGTCCCTAGGTTACCCACAAATTCAGCTCAGATTAGCCACAAATTGGAGGTTCCCAAGACTCTCTCCTTGAGTTGAATAATTTGCTAGAGTAGCTCACAGAACCCAAGAAAATAGCTTACTCATTATTTCTGGTTTATTAAAAAGGGTATTTTAAAGGATATAAATGAACGGCCAGGTAAAGAGATACACAGTACGAGGTCTGGAAGAGTCCTGAGTCCAGAAGCTTTTGTCTTTGAGGAGTTGGAGTGTGGCCCCTCCAGTCCCATGGATATGTTCACCAACCCAGAAGATCTCTAAACTCTGTACTTTTGGGATTTTTATGGAGGATTTATCACATAGGTATTATTGATTATTAATTCAATTTCCAGCCCCTCTTTTCTCTCTGGACAATGGGAGGTGGGGCTGAAATTTCCAAGCTTCTAATCATGGCTTGGTTTTTCTAGTGACCAGCCCCCATCCAGAAGCCTACAGAGTCACCTCATTAGAATTAACACAAACAAACAACCTCCTATCTCCTAGGAAATTCCAGAGGATTTAGGGGTGCTCCCTCAGACTCCCTTATCACTTTCCATTTTATTATGTAGTTGCCTCTATTGTTGAACAGTGCTATCAAAATCAGTTCTACATTTACTTATGGCTTAATGGTCCTCAGGGAAAAAAAGATTTTATATTGCATGCTGCAGTATAGTGATGGGCTACTCAGGACTCTGGAAATATTTGCTTTTAACTTAAAATTTTCTGCCCACTCTGTTTTTGAGTTCTGATGTCCTATGTGTTAACTTACTTTTCTTTCTTTCTTGATGTCAGGCTCCTAGGTGTTAATTTTGGCGATTGTCTTACTACCTCTAGGAGGCATCCTCTGAACACAGCATCCCCAGAACCCTTTTAATTCATATGAGTAGTTTAGCCCTGAGTGAGTTTATGCTACGCTTTATCTTTTAAAAAGAAGATGTGTATCCAGAGATTCTATAACATGTGTGTGTAAGCAGGGGCCCTCTTTTGAGTAAGCTTAGTTTCTAAACTATGATTGGAATAATTAATTTTTCAGAACAATGATGTACAGGTAAGTTTTGCTGTAACTGAAAAAAAATCTGTTATTTTTTTCCAACACTAGAATATTTTTAAAATAAATTGTGATGCATCTATGTGGTGGAATACTATGTAGCAATTAAAAGTAATTTTACCAGATTCAACTGACATAGGAAAAATTTCAAAACACATACTAAAAATCCAGTAACACAACAATCTTGTGTAAATATAGTATGGGCTAATGTGAAAAAGTAGAATTATATGCCATAAAAATAATACTGATTATTATTGCTTAGTAGAATTAAGAATAAGAAGTCAATAGTTATCTAAAATGAATAAATCAAAAATAGATGTTAAATTACAGAAATACAGAGGCAGATAACTATATATAAATAAGTATAAGCACTAAAATGATTGTTTCTGAGAAGTAAAACCAGGAATTCTTTTTCAGATTCTATTCTATTATAGGTTATCACAAAATAATTGAATATAGTTCCCTGTGCTATACAGTAGGTTCTTGTTCTTTATTTTATATATAGTAGTGTGTATATGTTCACCTCAAACTCCTAATTAATCTTTCCCCACCCTTTTGCCTTTAGTAATCATAGGTTTGTTTTCTATGTCTGTGAGTATATTCAATTTTCTAATAAGTTCATTTCTATCATTTTTTATTAGATTTACATATAAGTGGTGTCATATGATATCTGTCTTTCTCTGTCAGACTTACTTCACTTAATGTGATCATCTCTGGGGCCATTCCCATTGCTGCAAATGGCATTATTTCATTCTTTTTTATGACTGAGTAGTATTCCATTGTATATATCTATATTTATATCTATACCTATATCTGTATCTATATATCACACCTTCTTTATACATTTATCTGTCAAGGGACATTTAGGTTGCTTCCACGTCTTGGCTGTTGTAAATGGTGCTGCTATGAACATTGGGGTACATGTATCTTTTTAAATTAGAGTTTTTATCTTTCCCAAATATGTGCTCAGGAGTGGGATTGCTGTGTCATATAGTAACTCTATTTTTAGTTTTTTAAGGAACCTCCATTCTGTTCTCCATAGTGGCTGCACCAATTTACATTCCCACCAACAGTGTAGGAGGGTTCCCTATTCTCCACACTCTCTCCAGTATTTATTATTTGTAGACTTTTTGATGATGGCCATTCTGACCAGTGTGAGGTTATACCTCTTTGTAGTTTTGATTTGCATTTCCCTGATAATTAGCAATATTGAGCATCTGTTCATGTGCCTGTTGGTCATCTGGATGTCTTCTTTGGAGAAATGTCTATTTAGATCATCTGCCCATTTTTGATTGGGTTGTTTGTTTTTCTGACATTTAGCTATATGAGCTGTTTGTATAGTTTAGAAATTAATCCCTTGTCAGTTGCATCATTTATAAATATCTTCTCCCATTCCATAGGCTGTTGTTCTGTTTATGGTTTCCTTTGTTGTACAAAAGTTTTTAAGTTTAATTAGGCCCCATTTACTTTTGCCATTGCTTCATTTACTCTAGGAGACATATCCAAAAAAATATTGCTGCAAATTATGTCAAAGAGTATTGTGCCTATATTTTTCTCTAAGAGTTTTAGAGTATCCACTATTATATTTAGGTCTTTAGTCCTTTTGGGGCTTATTTTTGTATGTGGTGTAGACAGTGTTCTAACTTCATTCTTTTACAAGTAGATGTCCAATATTCCCAGCACCACTAATTGAAGAGACTGTCTTTTCTCCATTGTATATTCTTGCCTCCTTTGTCATAGATTGACCATAAGTGCATGGGTTTATTTTTGGGCTTTTTATTCTGTTCAAGTGATCTATGTCCCTATTTTTGTGCCAGTATCATACTGTTTTGGTTTCTGTGGCTTTGTAGTACAGTCTGAAGTCAGGGAATGTGACTCCTCCAACTCCATTCTTCTTTCTCAAGATTGTTTTGGCTATTTAGGGTCTTTTGTGTTTCTATACAAATTTTTAATTTTTTGTTCTAGTTTTGTAAAAAATGCCATAAGTATTTGATAGGGACTGCATAGACTGTAGATTGCTCCTATGTTGGGTGCATATATATATTTAAAATTGTTATATCTTCTTCTTGGGTTCATCCCTTGATTATTATGTAATATCCTTCTTTGTCTCTTGTAACAGTCTTTGTTTTAAAGTCTGTTTTTGTCTGAGATAAGTATTGCTTCTCCAGCTTTCTTTTAATTTCCACTTGCGTGGAGTATCTTTTTCCATTCCCTCACTTTCAGTCTGTATGTGTCTCTAGATCTGAAGTCTCTTGTAGGCAGAATATATACAGGTCTTGTTTCTGTATCAGTTCAGCCAGTCTGCATCTTTTGCTTGGAGCATTTAGTCTGTTTACATTTATGGTAATGATCAATACTGTTTTCTTATTGCCATTTTGCTAATTGTTTTGAATTTGGTTTTGTACGTCTTTTTTCTCCTTTCTTCTCATCTGATGACTATCTTAGTACTATATTTGGATTCCTTTTACTTTTTGTATGTTTATCTATATAGATTTTTGGTTTGCGGTTACCATGAGGTTTTTGTATAGCAGTCTCTCTCTCTCTATATATATATATATATGCAGTCTATATCTATATCTATATCCACACATGATTGTTTCAAGTTGCTGATCTCTTAATTTCAAATGCATTTAAAAAACCCTACATTTGTATTCTCTTTCCCTCATGATTATTGGTTTTTTTACATCATATTTTAGATCTGATTGTTTTGTGTATCCCTTAACTGCTTATTGTGGATATAAATGATGTTACTACTTTTGTGTTTTAACATCCCTACTAGTTTAGTGTAGATGGTTTCCTACCTTTATTGTATGTTTTCCTTTACTGGTGAGATTTCTCATTTCATAATTTTCTCATTTCTAGTTGTGGCCAATTCTTTTCTACTGAGAGAAGTTCCTTTAGCATTTGTTATAAAGCTGGTTCGGTGGTTCTGAATTCTTTTTGCTTTTGCTTGTCTGTAAAGCTTTCATTTCTCCATCAAATCTGAATAAGGGCCTTGCTGGGTAGATTATTCTTGGTTGCAAGTTTTTCCCTTTTGATCATTTTAAATATAGTGTGCCAGTACCTTCTGGCCCACAGGGCTTCTGCTCAAAGTTAAGCTGATAGCATTATGGGAGTTCCCTTGTGTATTATTTGTTGCTTTTCCCTGCTGCTTTTCATTATCTCTATCTTTAATTTTTGTCATTTTGATCATAATTTGCCTTGGTGTGTTCCTCTTTGGGTTAATTCTGTATAGGACTCCTTGGGCTTCCTGGACTGGGGTGACTAATTCCTTTCCCAGGTTAGGGAAGTTCTCAGCTATTATCTCTTCCAATACTTTCTCTGGCCCTTTCTCTCTTCTTCTGAGACCCCTATAATGCATGTATTAGTGCACTTGGTTTTGTTCCAGAAGGCTCTTAAACTGTCCTCATTTCCTTTCACTCTGTTTCCTTTTTTTTTTTTTTTTTTTTTTTCTGTTCAGTGGTAATGATTTCTACTATTCTGTCTTCCAGGTCACTGATCTGTTCTTATCATTTAGTCTACTATTGATTGCTTCTAGTGTATTTTTGATTTCAGGTATTGTATTCTTCATCTCTGGTCACTTTACATATTTTCTAACTCTGTTAAAAACAAACTTGTTCTGTGCATCCATTCTCCTCCCGAGTTCTTTCCTCATCTTTATGATCATTACTCTGAACACTTCCTCTGGTAGATTGCCTATCTCCACATCACTTAGTTTTTCTTCTGGGGTTTTATCTTATTGCTTCATGTGTAACGTATTTCTTTGCTGCCTCATTTTGTCTAAAGTGCTATTTACATTTTTATGTATGTGGTAGGTTAGTTATGTTTCTTGACAATGGAGAAGTGGCCCTCTGTAGGAGACATTCTATGCATCCCAGCAGTGCATTCCCTTCTTGTCATCCAAGCTATGTGCTTTATGGATTCTCCCTAAGAGGGCCTTCTGTTGTGGTGGGCTGCCTATGTCGGCAGTCTTGTAATGTGGTGGCCCTATTCTGGTTGGTTGCTAGGCTCTGCCTTGTGTGCATGCTGCTAGCTGCTGTTTAGTGGGGTCTGGTCACCAGGTGGCTGGTTACAGAATCCTAAGGGGGCTCTAGGAGTAGTGTTGACTCCTGGGTGGATGGAGTCAGGATACCAAAGGTTCTGTGGCTGTTGTCACAGAAACACTGGCAATTGAAGCCAGATATTGGCATTAGTGCTGGACTACTGGTAGGCAGAGCTCGTTCCTAAAGTCTGGCTGCACGGCCCAGGGATCCCAGAGCTTGTTTCAAAAAAATTTGGGGGGGAGGAGTGTTGGTTCCTGGCCCAGTTGAGTATGGAGTCCGGGTTGTCATGAAGCTTGTGTTGGCCTGCTAGTGAGCAAGGCTAGCACCCAGCTGGTTCCAGGGTGGGGTCTGGCCTGCATTGCTGACTCATTCCACAGGCTGTGGGATCATATGTTTCTTGCATCTGGTGGGTGAGGCTGGTCTAGAGGTCTGTGCAGGCTTGCTGGTGGAAAGGGCTGGTGCCTGGCCAATGTTTGGTGGAGTTGGGTCTTGTCCCTCTGGTAGGCGAGGCCATGTCTAGGGGAGTGTCTAGAGATAGCAATAGGCTCAAGAAGTCTTTTAGAAGTCTGCTGGGGTCTGTGTCCTCACCCAGTTAGTTGTTTGGCCTGAGGTTCCCCACCACTGGTTCCAACAAGCTGTTGGGTAGGGCCAGGTACTGCCACTAATGAGTCAAGATGTCAGCCACCAGGAGTGTTCATGCAACTGAATGCCCCCAGTATGTCTGCTACTAGTGTGTATGTCCCCAGGGTGAGCCACAGTCACCTCTGCCTCCCCAGAAGACCCTCTCAGACCAGCAGATGGATCTGGTCCAGGCTCCTATCTAATTACTGCTTTTGCCCTGGTTCCCAGTGTGTCTAAAATTTTGTGTACAGCCTTAAAGAGAGAAGTCTCTATCTCCCCCATTTCTGTGTAGCTCCTACAGTTAAGCCCTGCCGACCTTCAAAGCCAAATAATCTGGGGTCTCGTCTCTCTGGTGCTGGACCCCTAGGCTGGGGAGCCTGACATGGGGCTCAGAACTCTCACTCCTGTGGGAGAACCTCTGCAATATAGTTATTCTGCTGATTGTGGATTGTCAACCTGGGCTGGGAGGTGGGGTATGGGAATTGATTATATTGCAAGTATGCCTCCTCCTACCAATCTCATTGTGGTTTCTTCTTTATGTCTTTAGTTGCAAGTCTTTTCTGATGGGTTCCAGTCTTTTTCATCGATAGTTGTTCTGCAGATAGTTGTGATTCTGGTGTGCTCGTGAGAGCAGGTAAGCTCAGGCTACTCCACCATCTCGGTCACTCTCCACTCTTAGACTTTAAAACAGCATGGATATATAGCACTACTTTGATGAAACGAAATAAACTGAAGTAAAATATACTTCATCAGAAGAGATAGCTTCATATTTTTCAAGGGGCATAAAATGCTAAAACACTGATCCTTTCTTTATACTCCTTAGAAGGTAAGGGAATAAATAATTCCTATATATAAAACCATGGCATCAAAATGAAAATACACTTTTCAGAAACCTGTAAGATCAAATGCATCTGTGGGCTTTGTTACAAAACCTCACATAAATTACACATTAAACTAAATGGCCCACTTTTTTATCCTAAAATCAATGAATCAATAATTTCTAATAATATTAAATGATATATGAAAATAGAATTTTCCATTTTTCAAATAGATATGAAAACTACACTGATATTTGTGAAATATTTCTCTGTCAACATTTTTCAAAGGTTTTCATTAAGGTTAACTTTCTGTTTCAATAGTCAATGTTTTTCAAAGATGTTTCCATAATTAAGGTAGATATTTTATTTCAGAAACTTTAGACTCCATTTTATTATGGAGTTTCTGTGCTAATGTTTTGAGAGACAAAACTAATGAAAACCACATACCTATAGTTCAATTACACAAACAGCTTAGGATGATGAGAGAAAAAATATGATTAAATGTTTAACCTATTATGAACAATAATAACCTATAGATGATAGTTTTCTAACTATATTGGCATACACATGCAAACACACAGAGACAACTCAATGAAAGTAGATTTTCTGTCTTTTCCTTTTTTTCTTTATTCTGACATAAAATTGTCTTTGAAAAAGAAAGGGAATGAACTTGAAAAAGAATGTATAGGCCTTTATCAAGAGGCAAAGTGGTTTCTCATTTTAGACTTTAGGGCATGGTCATCAATGAAAATATTTGTAATATTAAACTATAGTAATGATGGGCTAATTTGTCAGCATTGTATATAAAAATTTTTAAAGTGCATTTTACTGACATATTTGGAGATCTTGTGAAAGTATGAAAATTATAAGTATCCAAAATGTATAAACTTTGAATTATTCATTCATGAAAATATCTGTTAAACTGGTAGATTGATAATTAGTTCAGAGGTGCATGCCATGTATAACCTAGAGAAATAAGTAATTTTTCTGGCAAAACACAAATTACCAAACCTGTTTTTTTTTCTACCAAGTAGAAATTACCATAGAATTACCATAAAACGGATTAGAAAAGTAAATAAAGTAATACCTTTTAAAAAGAGACCAGATCTAGGATCTTTCACAACTGAGTTTTAGCCTAACTATAACTAATAAACAATTTAAATGTTAATTAATTACTTCAACAAATATTTATTGAGAATTTTGCCTTGCCAGTTACTTGAGGTTCGGGAATGCTGCAATGAAAAATAAATAAATCAAAGATCCTTGTATAATAAAACTTACATCTGACATTATTCCATAGCAAGGTGAGAGGGTAGGCAATTTGAGAGCTTCATGTTTAATTTTATAAGTCCCAGAGTAATTTAAATACCAAAAATACCAAATAATAATATATTAATGTGAGGTTATTCCACAAATAATATAATATAAAAGATTACTATTTATCAGAGCATATTTATAATTTATTATAAAGAAAAATAATGACCCAATAAGACCATGCCAATTGGTGCTCAAAAGGCATTCCTAACATTGTGTAGCTGTTTTTAAAGTGAAATATGAATAGAAGGGATAGAAGAAAGCAATTTAAATATCAAACATTTTAAAGTTAATATTAGGAACCACAGAGATTCACTTGTTGGCCATTATACCTCAATGTATTTCTGAAGTTTCCAGCCAAGTGTGCTAAAATAAGCACTTATAATTCTACAGCTGGAAAGAAATACTCCAGGTAAAAAAAAAACAAACTATTAGAATTACTAAGTGAACGGACCCGAAGTAAATATACAAGACCCAAATTTTCCTCTCCATGTGCTATCAATAAACAGTGAGAAATAAAAATGGAAAAATACTCCATTCAAATCATGACCAGTGTATACTATAGCTTGCAGTAAACTTTCAAATTTATTGATAAATTACTGTATGCCACTACGTACCTTACCACTGATAATGTATCATTTTCACTTAGCCACAATCTGTGCTTTATTCTAACCCTATTTTTTAGATTGTGAAACTGAGCTTCAGGGAGGCTAACTGATGTGTTCAAGATCAGACAGCTAGTGAGTTGTAGAAATAAGTTTTAAACCATCTGTACTCATAATTACCCATTTTCTGGCTTTATAGATTATCCTTTGGTCTAAATTGAACAATACACAAAACCTATGCAATTTCTGTTCAAGTGATGAATGTTAACTTTTTCAGGACTGGATAAACTGTAAGTTCATATGAAAGAATTATTTATCCCAAACTGCCCATTAAAAGTAAATAGTAATAATAATAAGTAAAAGTGTGCTTGCATACCACATATCAAGTTTATGATGAAACATTATAATCAAAGGAATTAGTATTTAAGTAGTTACAGACAGACTTATCAGTGGAGCAGAAGTGAAAGCCATTCCAGAATTCCAGGTGTGATGTGATTTCCTCATTCCCTTCCCTTCCCTTCCTCACAGTGCCATCCAGGAAGGGGGCTTTCATTGGCAGGCAACAACAAGGAACCACTTCAGCTGCTCAGCCTGAGTAGCTTAGAAGAGAATTTTTGTATCATTTCTATTAGTAGCAAAAACAAAATTTCTTTTTTTCCTTTCTTTTTGTTTCTTCACTTTTTTTTTTCTCTTTAGGAATAGTCAAGCATTTTTTCATGAATGCAATTATGACCCTTAAAAAGCACATCTTCCCTTTTCCCCTCTGAAAAAAGGAGTTTTCATCTCTGGAGAAGTGAGTAAACATTTACTGAAAGTCATATGAGAAGTGAATGCACATTTATTACATGTCTGCTGTAATCAAAAGGCGCAGGAGCTTCTACATTTCAGGTGGCGTCAAAGCAAAACCCTGAATAAAGGCATTAGTATCCTCATTTTACAAAGAAGAGCTTGAGCAGTCTTGCCAAGATCACATAGCAAGTGAGATAATTCTAGAATCTGACCCAATGCCTGCCCGATACAAAAGGCTTTCTACCACACTCTTATGGCTGAACAGAAAGATTTTATCTGAACTTAACTGCTGCTCAATTAATTTCATTAAATATTGTGCAAAATTAAGACATTTAGTTTTTCAAATTAAATCTGTCAGTGGGTAATAAGTATTTTTGCATAGGAGAATGGTGACTTTCGAATATTCTCATATGCTGATTAACTATTTTAAGCATTAGTGATGTACTGAAAAGTAATAAAAGATTATTTAGGTTCCTAAATAACTTAATTATTCAAAGAGCCCAGATACTAAAAAAGGACACTTTTTCTTCCCAAAATATTGCTTTTTATAATCATATAAAATTATACAATTATTGCTATAATGTTAAGTATATAAAAGTTAGAGGAAAACAATTAAAAATCATAAGGAAGACAATTAAAAATCATCCTTAATGCAACAACCCAAAGATACCCCACATAAAGTACTTTTAGGCTTTATGTTTCTATTTATACATCATCACACTGCATCTATCCTTTAGGTATTAATTTTTATCAAAGACACTTTTATGAATAAATATGATTTAAAATAAGGTCATATTGTTTATAAAGTTTTTCCCTTGACTTTTCTTTCTTCCTTTTCAGTTGAACATTGTCTTTTTGAACATTTGGACATAATCTTATTAAACATTTGTAAAGTGGCCATTATTCCAATACATTGATAAAATAATTGTATAAATTCCTAATTATTAGATATTTGCCTTGGAATTACTATAAAAACAAAATGCCCTTTTTTACAATAAATCTTAACTTTCATTTCTGATCATTTCTTAGAATGAATTTCTAAAAATTATGAAGCTGCCTTAATATATGATATTTTAAAAAATTCTTGGCACATATTACTAAACTACAGCCTGAAAAATTTGGATCAGATGAGAGTATCAATTTATCAACATATATAGCAATTGAATAATATTTTAAATATTAAATTAATAAGCAAGAAATTTCATTTATGAATGAGATCATTATTTTCTTTCATAAAAATTCTGCTTATTTTCATTCCTACATTTCTGAATCCTTCCTTTTTCTCATTTTGGAGCAAGATTTTTAAAAGACAACTTTATATGTAAGTTGTATTGAATGTTTTGTGTCATATATATTTTAAAAATGTGTAGTTCATTAGTTTTTACTTTTGTTTATAATATACAAGTTAACTTTTATTTGATTAATATTCTTGTTTTTATTTTTATAAAACCCCACAATACCTTGAAAGAAATTACACATTCATGTATGACTTCTGTAGGTTGGAAAGCCTTATGAGAGTTGGAATGTTACTGGGTTGTCTGTAAGAAAACTTGTCTCTTTAGTGTCACAGGCCTATAGGGGAAAGAATTTTGCTCTAAATTGTTGTACCTAATGAATTATACCCAGGAGATTCATCCATACGTAACCTGGAGGACAAAACTTTGAACTTTGGGGTTTTGTGTTAATGAGATTTAGATTTAGATGAAAAACTTTGGACTCTGAGTTGATGTTATAAAGGAATGAGACCCTGGGAAACCTTGAGAAAGGGTAAATGTATGTTGCATTTGTAAAGGATGCGAAGAGTTGAGCACCACAGGGTGGACGGTGGTAGGCAGAATTCTAAGATGATCCCTGGATTCCCACCCTCTATGTATGTGCCCTGTATAATCCCAACCCTTAATTGTGGACAGGACTTCTGACCATAATGGTATATCAACCCTGTAATCATGTTATGTTAAAAGGTGAAGGACTTTTGAAGATATAATTGAGATTCCAAATTAAATTGACTTTAATTATAAAGGATATCATCATATGGGTCTGACCTAACCAAGTGAATTTTTTAAATAGACAAGAAGCAACTGATTTTTCTGCTGGCCTTGAGGCTGGACTTAATTAAAATGAAAATGTTCTATTCTGCAAAATACATTCTTGAGAGGATGAAAGACAAGGCACAAACTGAGAGAAAATATTTGTGAAATACGTATCAGCTAACTGACTTTTACCTTAAAGGGATGAAGACCTCCTAAAA